AAGATATCGATTTGTCAACATGACCCCACTGTACTATCTGCCAATAAATTATAAACTAAAGCCTATCGTCAGTGGCGTAGCTAGGGTTGGTGTCACCCGAGCGGTAAACTCAGGGTGTCACCCCACCCACACCCCCCCCCAAAAAAAAATACAACAAACAAACAAACAAACACTTCCATGATGGATTTCTTCTTTTTGGTAAAATAAGTCCACAATATAACAATGACAAGAACAAAAAAAAATCGAAGGGCATGAGGTCAATGTATTCAAAAACGTTAACAACGGTAAGCTATATTTATTTCTATATTAAATTTACTTCCTTTCCTTGTCTTCAAAGCTGCAAACCAGTCAATCAATTGATCAAAATCAATGTCCTTCACTGTATAACATCCAATTGATAGCAGAGCTAAACCAGAAAGCCTAGACTGTTTCATGTTGGATCATAAATATTTCTTGATTAGCCTTAGTTTTGAAAAGCTCCGCTCACATGAAGCCATATACACACATATTGTAAGAAACAATCGATGGCTCAGCGAGATTTTTGGAAGAGATTCTAGGAAGTCTCATTTAGCTATGAATTTAAAAACCTCAAATACTGACCGGTCTATGACGTTGTGAAATTCAACATCAGCTGAGTTTAGGTGTCTTCTAAGCCTTATTATTTCCTTTAAAAGTTCATATTCTGATAAATCATCATAGAAGGAGGTTAATTTTGGAACGGACATCAATAACTCTTCTTCACTTGTTGATAGAAGACTCTTGGGTTGAACAGCCCAAAACATATCTGCTACTTTCTTGATCGTAGATGATCTGATCTGGGGTTCAGAATGAAAGCTATCAATACACTTCAGCATATCCCTACCGTTTTCTTCAGGCAGAGTCCAGCAATTATTAACTGTTCTTCTGCCATTCTCTTCTTAAACCCTAATCTTCTTTCTTCAGAAATTCCATGTTTTTCTGATTTTAGTAGTGCCCTTTCAATAGCATGTTCCACCAAGTTACAGCGCTTCTCGTGGAGAAACACGCTTGAGGCCTCTAGGTTGGTTACCACTTTGTCAAGAGTAAAGCCTTTGGTCTGCAGATACTGCTGTATAAGAATGACTTCCTTAAGTAGATGAGCCCAAATGGAAATGTAGCAGACAAACGACGTGAAATCACAGACAGCATGTAGAAGACCTTGTACTGTATGACAATAGTGCTTAAGTTAAGGGGCGGTTCTAGTGGGGAATCGGCGAAAATATTTATTTTTGAATATTTCTTAGTTTTAATATATTTTGATTCAGAAAACATTTCTTACATTTATATAACAGAGATAATAGAAAATTTTGTAAAATATTATTTTGCTAACTCCAAAAAATGGGCAAAGTGGAATTTTTTAAAGTGTTTGATTTTTACCGATTCGATTCATGAATTCATGTACTGAGAATCGCTCGACAACATCGTCTTGGGTATCAATGGAAAGCTTTATTTCTCAGAATTTAGATCAATTCCTGTCACTTACGGAAGTTACGGAACACTTTAATCATGGTCAGAGCGGTGTATATCTGACCCAGTTATGGGGTCACATCATTTATGAGGCATCAACCTTGAACTTTTACTAAAGCCCGCATGTGGATTGGTTACGTGTGTGGAACATTGACATGGACATGTGATCGGTTATCCTCTTATGAGATTCGATTAGACTGAGCAGGTTTTTTTCTCTGTAATTATGCAATTGTTCACTTTGATGTCACCCCTGAGAGGGTGTCACCCGGTGTGGTCCGCACCCCCACCCCCTGCACCCTCCTAGCGACGCCACTGTTTCGATATATAATACTATAGACATGTCTTCAAAAAAAAAAGTGTCTTTGTTTAAATTTAAATAAATAAGAGTAACAAAGGCTTGCCAAAGAAATATTGCAGGGCACCACAAGAGGAGGGAGAAGAAGAGGAAGACAAAGGAAAAGATGGGAGGATAACATCAAAGAGTGGACAGGACTAACAATGGGCGATGCAGTGCGTAGTGCTGAAGACAGAGAGGAATGGAGGAGGATGGTTCACATGTCATCTGTGGCGCCCCAACGGTCCAAGGACTAAAGGACATGAGGTTATAAGAATAAATCATTAAAAGATTGAAAATTGTGTAAAATAATATATTTTTAACCCTATAATTAATAAATGGGTAAAAATTCGTTTTTTAATGTTGTTCCTTTTATTTTTTACAAATTCTTTTACCTAGATTCCCCCGACCACACCGTATTTGGTATCAATAGAAAGCACTACTTCTCAGAATTTAGAAATATAGCATCCTGTCACCTACGGAAGTTACCGAACACTTCACTCGGAGTGGAATAATGACTGTTTTTCTGAACTAAACATAGGGTCATCTCATTTCTGACGCACCAACGTTGAACTTTTAATAAAGCACGCATTTGGATTGGTTTATTTGTGAACGATGTACGTGTGATCTGTTATCCTTTTATGAATCTCCGTTAAACCGAGCAGTGTCTGCTCAGTGTGCTGTGTAAATATTCAATGTTTTAATCGGGTGTCACCCGGTGCGTTCCGCACCCCCCTCGTCTTTCCCTTCACATCCGTCCCCCCCCCTCTTTTTTTTTTCCGCTGGTCTACTTGAAATATTAGTGTTGTAAAAAAATTTTTTTTTTTACATTTTAATAATTGTATAATTATCGAAAGTTAACAACAAACAAACTGCTCAAGTTTATAAATGATTTGAATTTTATTAAAAATTTGATAACTCATGCGTCACGGAGGTTTGGAATTAGTAGGCAATGAAAAGTCTTCTTTTTTTTAACCTAACGAAGTTTGAACACCATTTGTCAACGAAACACCAAGGTTAAAATCGCCATACTAACAACTCTGATGCAATACCTCCGGTACTAGTGTTAACTGATTGTGTTAATGTTAGTTTTCCATTGGACACTTAATAAAAGACACTTTCATCATGATCTGCCAAGCAATTAAATGCAACAGATCAAATCCAACTGACATTGACATCTGTACAAAGAAAGCCATCTGATTGGCTATCACGTAATAGAAATGATATCATTTCCGAAGGCCATCTTCAGAATCTCGGAGACTTACAAGACACTGGACCAATGTGAAGGGGGGGGGGCAACTTAAACTTAAATTGAAGGGCGGGGGGGGGGGGGGTGGCAACTGAATGTGACCAGCGGGAGAACTCAGACGTACAGGCTAGGGGGGGAGAATTCAAGCTGACCAGGGTTAAAGGGGACAGCTCAAACTGGTCAAGAAGAAGAGCAGGACGCCATATTGTCCGGTTTTACTTAGTACGATTGCCCCCCCCCCAAAATATATACTCTTTCAACTGACCCATGACAAAAATTTACTATTTTTGCAAGTGTTGAAACTTGAAGTTTAAGTGAGTGAGTTTGGATAGATTCTATCAACTGAAAACAATGGTTTTAGAGAGGGTCACCAGGCAGCTACAATTATACATCACATCTTTTACACAAAGCTACACACTTCTGCTGTTGATGCTTGCTCATTTCTTGTGATTGCACTTGTGAATATATTAAAATGTATGGTCAGTTTATGATCATATGACAGTATGAGTTGCACAAACAACTAAATTTAGGTTAAATTTAAATATTATGAACGTTTTTATTATTTTTGTTTTAAACAAGCAGAAACAAGGTATGGCATAAAAGAACATGTTGGCAGGTCATACAACATACTGGTCATGGCATGCCCCTGCACTAGTCATAGCTGGCAACACGACATGTCCCCAACATTATGAGACATTTAATGTCACATTGCACATTCTGAGTAAAATGTTCTGCCAAACAATCGGCAGCAAGTGACACTCCCCACATCGAGGGTTTGGACAGCCTACAAGGCTGGAGGGAGGGACCACAATGAGGCTGAACATTCAAATGTACCACTCCTCAGGCTTTGGAGAGCCTTGCAGCAGGGGTGTGCAACCTACGGCCCGTGGGCTAGATGGCGGCCTGCTAAAAAATTGAATGTGGTCTGCAAGATTTTCCAGGAACTGGATTATTGTTTCGTAAAATGTACAAATTCTGAATTATCCCCTAGAAAATCTGTTGAAAATAAATCATCACAGTGTATATTGTTCAAACTGTGATGATAATAAAATAATAATCAGAGAAAACTTAAAAATTATTCCAAAGCTTTAAGTTTGAACTTAACTTCAATTTACTGTCTAGAACTCAGTCTAGAACTCTATATTCTTAAAAATTATCATGCAGCCAACCCTCATCAACATAGAGTTGCTTACCCCTGCCTTACAACATACTAGATAATGATCAACATACAACTCATAACAAGAATAATACTGTACATGATTACAGGAAATGTATGCTCAGACAGCTTGTTATACTGCTACTAGTTGGGTAGGTGACATTTTATATCCATGTCACACTTACAGTCATGTAAAATTTAAGACGACTGTTTTTAAATTGCACTAGAGATTGACATATTGACCAACTGTTATTGCACAAGAGCTGGTGAAAGAGTTAACACAACACATGACATTTGTTTGTGGCTCACATGACATTAAGTTGTGGCATTTAACAGATGCCATAACACCTGATGACGACTTGGATGTCAATAAGACTTGGAGACAAACAAGACAAAGATGTTGATGATGATGATGAAAAAGACAATGAGACAGAGCGCTATCAAGAACATGGTCTTCCTCTGCTGTATCAGGTTAGTGTAAAACATTCTTGTGTTAAAAGCCTGAAAATAAAGTGAAGACAAAGACACCTTTACTTGTGTTGAACCACATTCATATTATATTGTCAAAGTATGTAGTTTTTCTAACAAAGGACAAAAATAAGAATAATCTTGGTCAAAGTGAGAATTATTTTACAAATATCTCACAAATAAACATTAATGTTTCAGACAAATGCATTTTTCGAACAAGAATATTCGGAACATATTTCACAACAGTTAAGTTAATGAATTTCTTGAACCTGATTAAATAATATTTTATATAATATAAGAAAATTCAAGATGGGACAAGCCCATTATAGTACGATCAAACATAATTTTTTGAAAACTTCTTTCAGTTTGAGGCCACTCTAACAGACATGTTTAAAAAAAATGCTAATGTGAAGAACTATGAAACAGTCTCCATTTAATTAGAAAATATAAATTAAAGGATTGCATTCAAGCCTAGTATATGAATGAAATAGCAAAACGAGGTATGTGGAAGCTTGAATTAGAGAACAGGACAAATAATAAGGACGTTTCGTTTATGTATCCCTGGATATTCTGGTCCATTATTATTGTGGACCTAATTTTTCACAGCATAAATATTTATTTTCTCTGTGTTCCCACTTCCGGCGACACCAATGGATACTTGAGTCCTTTAAAACGCAAACAACTTCTGGGATGATTGTCAACCTTATTTTCCAGTTAATGCATAATGGCTGTGTTGCTTATGGTTGAAATGGCTAGAAAGACTTTGCCATTGTATGCTTGTACTTAGTTTTTGTAGTGTTGCGTTTGTTTTAAATGTGGTAAATTATAGATTTGTTTTTTGTTGACTTTGTACCGCGCTTCGAGCCTTTGGGGATGAAGCGTGTTTTTGAAATGAACTTTATTATTATTATACTTCTTGGGTGGTTTACTGTGCTCTGTTCTTTGTTATATTTTCATTTCTATTGTTAGCTGGAGAAGGCTTTATGCCGAAACGTCCTTATTTTTTGTCCTGTTCTCTAATTCAAGCTTCCACATTCCTTTTTTTTGCTATTTCATTCATTTAACTAACATTTAAAATAACTACACCAACTTAAAACAAATACTCCACTTACAATAAGACAATATTAAATAAAAAATTGAAAAAATAATTATTAAAAAAAAATATAAATTCAAGTTTGTCAACAAAATGGTAAAGAATTTCATTTAATGTCAAATAATAAATAAAATGATTATTTTTCACAGCCACAGATATTACCTTAAAATTGCTCGTGTAAGAATCAGGTCAATTTTGGGATGAAAAGTACCTTATTTTTTTTTCTTTTTCTGTCAGGTTATATCAGGGCTGGTTTCTGTTAAAGTACTTCATGATAAAGACAAATATTTAATCACGTTCAAAACAGTGTGGAGTCCTTGCTGATCAGTTAAAACTTTAAACTCATCATCTACAAGTTATGGATCTAAATCCTATTGCTTGTGCTGATTTGAGAAAATACAACATATGCCAAAGATCAAGTTGTGTAAGATTTTGTAGAAAAGGTTATTGTGGGTAGGTCATTACATAAAAAGTAAGAATGACATCATTGAACAAAGAGAATTAAATAGGTGCTTGCTTAACATTGCACATATCCATGCAATTTAGCTATTTACACATATGGAACTAAATTCCGGCTAATCTAAAAACATTTAACATTAACATCAATAATAACAAAAAAGATTTCTACAGACTAGAAAATATTGAACATTGAAAAATGAAAATTATTTGAAATACACTAAAAATATATAACATTACACCAATGGGAATCCATTGACATTTTGTAAATCGGGCAATCACTTTTACAGTGTGAGTTAGGAACGAATGGAGGTAGACACTGTTATGAAGAGGATGAGAAAGATGATGAGAAAACAAACAATGAGACAAAAAGTTATCAAGCACATCTTTGTTTGTCGCCCAGGCCTTCCATTGGAGACGACTGGGATTGGGAGCTGTGGGAACAATAAAACAAAAATATATAGATTAAGTCAGCTGGATTAGTTTGTATGGCTTACATTTTTTGTGTCAGAATTGTATCTTGAATAGTGTCAAAAATTTATTTTAGAAATGTCTGAAAGTGGCTGCCAGCACAAGCTCAATAACTCATTAAAAAACAATCTTTATCAGCTGAGACCATAAAATCAAAACATTATCAGTTAAATTTTTTATTTTATGGTTTTAATAATTATAATAACAAGTCATTTAATTAGTCAATCTCTAGACCTTCAGCAATAAACTCTACAGTTTAAGCAATCGACTTGTATGACGCAGACATAATTAGTGATTTACATTTGAATTTAAAGTGGGGCTGCTGTGCACATAGAAGCAAATTGTTTAAAAAAAAATAATAAAATAATGAAAACCATTAGACAGTGGTTAGATTATTTTTTTTAAAGATAATAAACTTTCAGACATTAATTATTTGCTACCATTAATCACCGACAAAACATTCTCAACACTGGATGTACACAATGGATCTAAATGCCATGGTATGGTACCAAGATTTATCATTGAGATTTACTATAAAGTACACAATGGGTCCTAATGCCATGTCAGAGTATCAAGCTAGTTAAGGAAGTTTACTGTTAATTTACACAATTGGTCAAAATGCCAAGCTAATGCTGATAACAGTGATTTACTATTGTTATATACATGGTGGCACTGATTTTGATTTTTCCTCAAGTTATTTATAGATCAATATTATTATTAATCATTACAAAGGCTTTCTAGGACTTTTATTTACATATTATTTTTTCATTTCCTTTACAATATTTCATGCCTCAGATAAGAGACTTTAAATGACAAAATTTACAATAAAAAATGATTATCAATTTAATATAATGACTCAATTTTTTCTCCATGCATTCATGATTCAGATTTACATGTGTGAGATTAAGTTTAAATGTTCAAAAGACTCAATCCTATACATTTATTTTAAGCGAACGCTTTGTTTCTGTGCAATTTATTCACATTTATGCATCTGCAAGCTCTTGAACAACATTTCAGAATATTACTTTAGTTGTAAGTGGTTGAAAATTAAAATTATAATTACAAATAAAATGCAAACAAAAAAATTAGACAAGCCTTGATAGAAAAGAAAAAAAAAGGCGTGCATGAGTGTTTTCCCTTTGATTATTTAAAAAAAATAGTTTTAAATATTGGAGAAAATGAAAACAATCCTATAAAATCTTTAGCATTTACAAAAATTAGAATATAAAGCAGCAAGAAAAAAAAACCCATCAATTCCAAAGCATAATCTTTTGAAGATAAAAAGCTTCAATGTTATTTAATTTTAAATATTTTTGTTATTATTTGCTATCTATAACTAAGATTTTAACTTACAGCACTGCCATTAGATTGTAAATTTTACATTTTTGCATTACACATTCATATTTTAAATTTTAGGATATTTTGGGTGACAATCAACTCTACTTTAAAAGATTTTAATCAAATTATGGGTTTAATAAGATCATGATAAAATTGTGAACACACATGTGACTGACCTACTGGCTGTATTCAAAGCTTTATCACCGTCTTAGTTTTCCATCCTGGCAAAAGCCTCATAGTTAGTGGGACAGCCAGGGAGCCTAGCTCATAGTAAGGAGAACATCATGATTACACAAATAAACATAGGAAGCCATGCATTGTCAGCCCTTGTTACATCTTGATGGTTGAGATATCATGGTTGACTGGGAAATTTGGAATGCACATAAGTGATGCTTTAAATTATAAGGAAAAATTACATGGCTCTGATGCTCCATTACAAAAAATAATTACATTCCAGCCTACATCATAAAATGATGTTTTGATTTTTTTTCTTTTAAGTACTGGTAATACAGATCTATTTTTTGTGTTTAAGCCAAACAATGTAAGTAAACCATGAGGCACAAACTAATCCAATTCTTAACATGCGAAATACATCCAACAACAAGTAATGTAACCGCCAATGTTTCCTTTAAGCTGTGCAGCTGCGCAGCTCACTCACAGACACCACGCAGCAGAGTATCCGAGCAGCAAATTTCCATGTAAGTGTATGTTGGTGTTTGTGGGCTGTAAAATTTTGCACACAAAAAATCTCATGATGTAAAACTTTGCACACAACTGTATGATTTTGCACACGAACCAGCAAACCTTAAAGGGAACATTGCTAACCGCCCAAATTTTCAAAGTGTGCCACTATGAGTCTCCTTTCTACTGCTGAGTGAATTATTTTTTACTTATTTTTTTTCCTACAAATGTTTGTATATTAAAATTTGTACATCTTTCTTTTAGCTTTCCATTGACAAAAATTTGTGAACTTTATTTGAGTATTGCACGAGGCCTAGCTTCAAATTTAATTGCATTGTAGCATATTTTTTCCTACAATTATGTGAATGCGAGAAAACTTTTAAGGCTTGCTAATTAGCCTGTAGTCATTTAATTTACTCAAATTGGCGCACCGAATAGAAAAAAAATATTGTGAAGTACTGTGCACTAACAATGTATAAATGGCATGCAATGTTCAAAAGAAACTACTAAATTTTTACCAATGGTGCCGTTTGCTGACCTTGCCATGTTGGAACCGCAGTAACCTGGAATATTCAAACAAAATTTGAACAAGCTTATTTTAGAATATTTTTTTTTTTTAATGATGAGGTTAAGTAGTAATATTTTCTAAGACTCCTAATTAAGAAAGATGAAAAAAAAAGCTCAACTAAATTTATATCTTTGGCTTTTTTTTTCAATTTTTTAAAATCACATTTGTGTGAGCTCAGGTCAGAATTCTAAAGCATTTATCTCATTTTTCAAACAAGAATATACAAAACATAATATTATAATCTGTTACATTCTTTATGTACATTATAGAGCATTTTTTTTTCTCTTTTCTATAACAAAGTCATGTGTACACGGCTAATACTTTAAATTATATAACTCTAATGGCATAAAGGAAAATTTAGAAGCCGATCTTGTTATATTTAGGAGAAACCTGATCTGATATTATTTCAAACTTGAAAAGGCTTGCAATAAAAAACAATTTACTTACAGTATTATAGGTATAATGAGCTGGTTGATGTGGCTGACCAGTGAAATGCTGACCATAAGGTTGACTGTATTGCACAGGTTGGGTCTGCACATAGAATGGATGAGGAGGCTGACCGTAAGAGAACTGGTCAGTATGTGCTGGATAGGACAACCTGTTTGGGTCAGGGGTGAGTGGGTACTGGGGGTAAGGGGCACATGGCGACTGTACCCCTGATGTGCCAGCTGGCTCTGGTGGGGGACATGAAGGGATCTCAAAAACCATGGGCATTACCGAAACAGGAGGTTGTGGTGGGTGGGCATGAGGGATTTGAGCATTATCATAACCGGAGCCCAATGTGGGTCGTGGTTCAGATCTCACTGCATCTTCATAACTTGGTGGTTGTATGTTTCCATCTGCTAAAATTAAAAATTTAATTAATCGTAAAGAATCAAAGATATAGAAGACATAATAAAAAAAATACATCTATTAATTTCCATATGTGAATGCAGATGCTCATTTTAAACTCATTACAGTTCTAAAAAAAAAATTTTTTTTTTCTCCACTCACTATTTTATTATATCCTAAAACTTTAAGATTTCAACTTGAATAAGTTTATACTGGATTTTTATCAAGCCTAAGAAAGAAGGCAATGAGATTTTGGTGGAATTCAAACATCTCCATTTTTTGAAATGGGCAAGAATAATAAAATAATTGCAAGCCTTCCTGTCTGTGTAGAAATAGATTAAACTAAGTAACACATACTATCTACAGAACATTATAAATAACCTTTTTTAATAACATAGTTCTTACAAGAAAATAAATTTCAATAGTTTATGAAAAATTACCTCTTGACATCTTAAGCTTGTAGTGTAGCCACCAGCTTGTAAAATATATGGTGTATTACACAAAGCTTTGAGAATGAAAGTTTGAAGAACGGGCTAAAAACTGAAGGATGTAAAAAATTTACATGCAAAAATGAGATACCAGTATTCTAAAATTCTTTAAGTTTATTTTACCCTAGTATAATATTATTTAAAATCTAAATATATAGTTATATATATCATATAGTATTATAGCCTTTATAGTCTAGCCAGACTCCAGCTTGAAATGATTACATTTACTAATATTTTATATTGAAAAAAGAATAGGCCCAAGTATTTAAAAAATTGACCTTCTAACTTAGAATCTAAGGTTTAGGGCGTAATTAGCAGATTAAAATATCCACTTATGATTTGTGAGCCAAAGACACAAAGAGCTGATTTTGTTTCAGCGGGTTGTTACTGATTGACAGTAAAGGCCTATATTTAGTATAACTGTAGATATTTAACAAATTAATGTACAAGATGTTCATCATCTGACCGTAAAAAGCCTATGACCTATGACAGGGTTTCCCAAACTATATCACATGACTAAATCTCACATCTTTAACAAATTGTTGTACTAAGTCTCACAACCCCTACAAAGTAACAATCCTGAAATGCATTCATTAATTATTTTAAATTGGGAAAAATTTATTATTTTTAAAGGTATATTCTTTGTTAAAGGTAAATTTATTTTTTTAGAATTACAAACAGAGCTGTAGAACATTAAATATATAAACTTGTTATTTGTGATTTATTTATTACATAGCATAATGATAACTAACGTAATATGAATTTATTTATTTTTTAAATATATAACATTAGTTACCGGAACTTTGTTTGAAAGAAATTTCGTCAACGGAAAATTGATAGATGGAAATTTGATCAAAAGGAAATTTTGTGGAATCTTTTTTTTTCAATTCACAGGATAAAATTTTCGTCAAATTTCTTTTTGAATGCACTATACTTTATAGAAAAACAAAACAATTCATTAAAAAAGAAATTTGTAGCAAAATTTTAACGTTTGCACTGAAAAATAGATTCTGCCAAATTTCTATGTAGGCCTATATTATATTATCAGTATTCTCTTTCAGATCATTCTCTCCCATCCGTCCCCATTGAATACCACCTTGGCCTCTCCCCCCCCCCCACCAAAAAAGTAGGGGTTTGAGCACTTCACCCTCCCTCCCCCCAATGTCCCATCCGTCCCCATTGAATACCACCTTGGCCTCTCCCCCCCCCCCCACCAAAAAAGTAGGGGTTTGAGCACTTCACCCTCCCTCCCCCCAATGTTGGGAAGCCAAGGCCAAGGTCTATGACTATGTCTATGTGAGACTGAAATTGCCATAATCATAATTACTCTGTAAACTAATTATAAAAAGTGTTGGACTGCGATATTGCTTTAAAATAGATTAATTAGACAACAAAAATGTGTGTCCAAATAACAATATTATCATTAAAGCTTACCTTATCTGGTTATATTGACACAAATTGTTGTTGTCTAATTAAATAATTTAATTTAAATTTACTTTGTAAAGTATGTTAGCATCATGCATATTAGTATATGAGGCTCAATTATTTTTTCATTAGTCCAATAAAGCCTCTTGATATTCATCATATTTTATAATTATTGACATTGAATGATTGATTTTTATTGATTAGTGCAAAAACAAAAATTATATGAATTATCAATCGCGACGGGGTGATGATTGCGAAACACTCCCTCCTGTTTTGGACAACGCCCAATACTTGCTATTTACATAGGCCTACATTTGTTACATTGTACTGCTTTTGCGAAATGAAATAAAAATATATTGGATACTGAAAGTAATGTTTTTATCACATTCCCTTTGCTTATCAAAATAAAATATGTTAATAATGGACTAAAAGTATAACATAACGTAATTTGTCTTACTCTACAATATACAGGGAGGTACAGCTATTTACCGAAATGCGTAGTCTCTAGTAAATTCGATTCCGACATGATCATATTTTATTATTATTTTACGGTGTGGATAATTTAATCTCACAGTACTTTATTAAATTAATTAGGTATTCTAAATAATGAAAATTTCATTCATAATGAATTAATTTCAACTATTCCTCTAGAGAGCTTGGCTTAGTCAGAACAAAACCACCAATTTTAAACCTTTTCCTTGGCACTGGGAGTCATACATGCGGACACTGACTGTTTTTCCTGATATCTTGAATCTCCTTTCAACAACCTTTCTCATTTGACTTGACCTAATTCACAAGGTAGTTGCAATGAACATCTTAAAGTTAAAGGATGACATTGTATAAAGTATGAGAAAGAGACTTATTTTTGGAGGACTCGTCTTTTTTTTTTTACCATATCTGTCTACTGGGTCTAACACACTGGTACATAATTTAATAGAAAAAAAAACCCATAACTGACTTGAGAACATTTTTTGTTTGGTTGTTGTTATTTGAGTTGTGTACTCAAGTAATCCATAAAATAAATTATATATAATTGGGGGCAAATATGGAGTAGGCAGCCAATAAACTCATTCAATTAGGTCACATCATTCCTTTGCCATTTGTCTCCTTTTACTTTCTCACCTTCCCGTACAGTTAACTATTGTTTGTACGGTATCATTTCTTTATTAAAGTACAGACGTAATTATTGAGCGGGAGCAAATATATGTGATCTGTGAAGGGAATTTGGTTTCAAGGCAACTAAGTCATGCCACATTGAAAATAAAATACTGATTACCTAAATAAATAGACCCATTGAAAAAAATATAGTACATACAAAACATACACAAACAGAAATACAAAAATCCACTAAAGTTGTTTTTTTTAAATTTGTTGTGACTTTTATTGCAAAAAATTAAACATTTAATACAAATTTTGACTTTACGCAAAATGATTAAAAACAAATTTGTATTGCATTGTATTGTAAATTATTGTACTGTATTGTAAATGAAACTTGGCATACATATTAAGAATAACATTGACAAAACGTTTAAAGAAGATTATTACACAGCAGTTATTGGAATTGTTACAAATGGCATGTATGTGGGGGTCACATAAATATTTGAGAACTCTTCAGGGGTAGCAAATGTAAAAATGTTTATAAAACTTTCTAGTTGGATATATATATATATATATATAAAAAAACTCTTGAATTTCGTAAAGAATATCAATGAAATGAAGCATGCAATGTTTGAAGGCTGTAGCTAGAATACTTTTCCTCCCAATTCATTTGGCGTTCCTTAAAAATCCGGAAAATGCAAAATTGAGAAAAATGAAAAAAAAAATTAAATAAAATTGTGTTTTTTTTTAATTAGAGGCTGCATGAACGATATAGGATGCATACACCATGTACATATATCCTTCATGATTTAAAAAACAATTAGAAAACTAAGACAGAAAAGACAGGAAAAAAAATTAACACAGGAACCTAATAAATAAAATGCATAAATTCAAACATTCTCTGAAAACTTTCCTATGAGACATTTGTTTAAAAACAATCCATCATAAAGTAAAGAATCTCAATTTAAATAAGCATGCAAAGTTTCAATCATGTAGTTCCAAAACTATTCCTCCTGATTCATCAATTGATGTCAGAAAAAAATATAATGAAAATGCTATATCTATAAAAGCTGAAAAAGACACTGAAACAACATTGGATGCATACATCATGAACACATCCCAAAAAATTATTGTTAGGTTGTAAGACAAAATTTGGTATCAAATGAAAGATAATTGAATGGACTATATGTTTGTAAACTTAATTCTTCAGTTTAACTAAAGGAACATTAACTAAAATAAATTACCACAAATGACATCCGAATAGCATTGGTCTATTGGACCCGGGTTTGAATAGCGACAGCCATTTATTTACAAACATTCACATATTTATTTTATACAAGTAGTGGAAAATTGTTGGGGCAGCTATCTTTTTCTTTTCAGGGTAAAATTTTGCTTTACCTTCGGTCGCCCCTTTGGGCGAACTCTGTCAAAGTTAACCTTCCCAAAGGAATTAATACTATTTTCAGTTTCAATTTTTTCTAAATTATTTGCAGCAACTGTTTCCTCGTGGAAAAAATGAATGTCATAGGTAATGCTATCTTTTTAGCAAATGAACAATTACATTGAACTGATGTCGAGCTAAAAATATGTTCCTTATAAGCTATTGAAAAAAGATCTGCCTCTCCAGGGACAACAGAGTACAGAACAGATCATAACAATTTGAGCTGATTGAGCAATAGAGCAGCAGCAAAGGAAAGGAAGTAGCAACACTTTCAATCTTATTTACACTTTCATCATTATCAGATGACATATACTGAGCTGTTTGCAGCAAGCAATCTTAAACGATCACATACTGTAATTTTGCAGTTGTCAAAAGACATAAGGTTACGAAGAGCAGATGAAAAAGAAAGATAATGAGTCAAACTCTTTTTTATTTTGGCATGATAAGACTCCAAGTGATTTGTTGTTGTCGCATGGAGTCTTAAAACATCAGCATTGGATGATGCTGCCCATAAATGGGCCTTACTCCACCAGTTCGACTCAAAATACTCCAAAGCTACATCAGGAAGAGTATCTTTCATGTCTTGCATCAACTTTAAAAATTCATCACACGACTCGGTATAAACTTGAGACATAAATCCTTCAAGAATTGGCTTAACATGCTCAGGACCTACATGTTTCGAAAGAAATCTGTGCACAGCCTGGTTAATGTGAAAATGACATAGATTAACAGGTACATTTGGAAAGAGATCATTTATAGCAGAGATTTCAGCAATGTCTTTGTCAACCACAAAGCACTTGAAAAGACTGGCATCAGAATTCTTCAGAAGAAGCTGCAAACAAAGAGAAATAGATTCCTTATCTTCATTTTTTACAAAACCATGAAGAACAGGAATGCCCCTGCCCTCTCCATCAATAACCATTACAGTCAAAAGTGGATATAAATATTTATTGGTTTTATATGTGAAATCCATTAATAAAACCTCTGGATATTGGGCAATAATTCTAATCATATCATGAATCATGTATGATAAATACTTAAATCCCCCACTTTCTGTTAGTCCATAGGACACACTTCCACCAGCTTGTGATATAGAAGAAAGTATAGATTAAGTTTCAGTTGCATCAGAAGATGATTTATTTATTCTTGACTTAATATTGTAAATGTCCCTGGGAAGCAAATCCACACCCTGCTGTTGTTCAAGCACTTGCCGGGCCTCAGATGCCTGAATCGTGGTGCAGGACATCAACAGAAGCGTTGCCGCATTTAGTTCCACCTTGCGGTTTTCCGGATACAAGCGGCACATCTGGAACAAAAATACACAAAGGTTACTTTGCAATAATAAGTATTATGTAAAAAAATATGCTCTGCAAACATTATTATTATTAGTGGTCTTATAAAAGGTTCCCTTTAAGCTGCGCTGCCGCGCAGCCATCTCACAGGCGCTGCGCAGCAGTTTTGAGTATCCGCACAGCAAATTTCATTCTAAGTGTGTTTGTGTTTCTGGACTGTAAAATTTTGCACACAAAAAAATTGATGCTGTAAAACTTTGCACATAACTGTAGGATTCTGCACACAAAACAACAAACCTTAGAGGGAACATTGATCTTATATAGTGCGGTACCCCAGCCTAGGGCTGGGCTCACCGCTGTGTACATGAAAATAACTAACCTTCACCTTGGGGATAAATGCTTTATGTTTATTATATGTCATAATAATTAAAATTAAGATTAAAACTCTGTCTGGACTATTTAGAATTTATTAAATTTAATTATACCGTTAAATAGATTTGTCTTAATTTTTTTCAAAACCTTTCTATGGTAAGGGTGGTAACCCTAACCTTAACCAAAAGTTTTCAGTGATAAAATTTCTGAGCGCCCTAGATTGAATGGGTTAATGAATGGTATAAGCTTATCTTTGCCTGGCATCCCA